CCCCAAAACCCCAAAACCCCAAAACCCCTCATTTTTATATAATAATAGAATCTCAGTAAATAAAATGTAAGCCTTTGTTAGAATCTGTGGGCATGGCCTCACTATTATTAATACTCTCTTTGTTCACATATATCTCAATCAAAGCTGAAAGAGAAGTTACAAGAGTTGAAATTAAGAAGGAAAGTCCTTTCTTGGTTTTGGCAGAGATAGGTGTTTTAATCAGTTCAATATAAAGTTTAGCCTTAATTTTAGCTTTACAGGTTTATTTATGAGATTTTCTAATAGAAATTAAACGATATTCGATTCCTTTTATTATTCTTTCGAATTTTTGAAGAGTTTTCCAAATTATTTAAATTTGATTTTTATCACTTGGAATTAGGTTTGAAAACAGTGATAGTGACTATGAGCTCATTGATGATGATACAACAGAGATTTTTGTAATGAAGCCTAAGCATAACTGACCACAAGATCAAGATACTCAAAATATAGAGGAAGAAAAAGAAATTTGTAATAAAGAGAAGGTAAGAATAAATAAACAATTCTATAGGCTAGTAAACTAAAATATTGACGTAATAAAAAGAATAAGATTTCAATAATGTCTCTTATACCAAAGAAAAAGAAATATCGTTCAAAATCTTTAAACAAATCTTCTCCTAAGAAATTTCTGGGAAAATGAAGGAAAGCACCTAAAATTACAAAGAAGAGAATCCCAAAGGAAATTAAGGAAGCATACATTTCCAACCACTTTGAATGCCTCCAAAAACCAGAGAGTATTAAGATAGCTTTACCTTCTGTGCGCCGTCTACAACCTGTCTTCACAAAAACCAAAAGTAGCTACCTACACTACCAGCATCAAGAATCATCCTTCTGTCCCTCCAGCCATTCCACACATCCCTTGGCCCCCAAACCTTCTCTCCCAGCCACTCTCGGAAGATCCATGACTGAATCCCTAAAGAACCTACAGATGAGTTTGAAGTCACACTCTGTAGAAGCCCAGGCACCCAGAGGAGGGATGGGAGAGGACAGAGGGGTGGGGCAGCAGTGGGGCAGGAGGGTGGGAGAGGACAAGTTTGTGAAGCTGCAGTTTCCTATGGGGGTTGGAGTAAGGGTTTTGAAGGGGTTATATTAGGGTTTCTTAAGGAAGGTAATTGGGAAAATATACACTGGGAATATTAAAGGTTTTTTTAGTTTGGATTTTCATTGTTAATTGTTAGGGTAATGATCCTCATTATTTACTCAAAGCTAAGAGGAGTAAGTATGGTAGATGATGTGTTAGATATTGAAAGGTTTGCAAAACCAAAATCGATGTCTATTAGGAGTAATTTTGAGAGCTTATGTGTAGATTTGTCTCTAAACAATTTGATTGACAGAAATAGAAGCGACATAGAATTACTAAACAGGTAATTTCCTAAAATTGAAAAATAGGTATATACTCAAGCCAATCAAGCCTTCAAAGCATCATTCTGTCCGCAAGTACGTCAAGCTCTCTCAATCCCTCTAAACACATCTATAGAAGTATCCACCAGATCTACAATCAAATTCAAAAACAAAGAGTAAACTTCACTCAAACTAAAACTTTTCTCCCATTTCAAAATTCCGTATACTATAAAATCCTATTCTAAACTCTCAAAATATATCTTAACGCACTATAGAGTCTCAGAAAATCAATTACGCTTCAAAACCCGTTACTAATGATTAACATTGATAAAAAGAATTTTTAGAGGTATCAAGAGGTTTTATAAGTTAAGAAGTTTATTGTAGAGATGGACTCAAATGAGTTTAGCTTAAATTTAGTTTTGGAGGTTTTAAATGAATTAGAGGGGATAGGGAGAAGAGTTATGGCAATTTAGAATGGTAGAATAGGTGTGGAGAAGAAAGATATATTCTGAGGGTTTTGGATTACTTTGAAATGATGTGTTTAAGCTTATTTTTGCTTTTGAAAGAATATAAGTAAAATTCATGGTCAGAGTTTATATTTACCTTAATTTCAACAAGATTTAATATTTTCGGGGTTTTGGGGTTTTGGGGTTTTGGGGTTTTGGGG